TAACTTTAGGAAAATAATGGGAACTTTAAAGAATTACCGAGAATCTTACGGAAGTCAACAGTACTCTAGTGGAATTTAAGAAAACTTGTTGACCTTCAAAGTTCATAGAACTCCATTGAAGTTTCACAGCAAAACATAAATTTTAATATTACATCCAAGATGATGCACTTCAATCATGCCGAAAATCTCATATGGCCACAAAAATAAACAAATGCAGGAAAATCAACGTTATGTCAGTTCATGCTCTGTATTAATAATAATTTTGTCCTTTTTGGTAAGTAAAATTACACCATGTTGATGTGATACAGCATTAATTTCTTGCTGTGTTAGGGAATTCTAGGAAAACTTTGGGATCTTCAGAAAAGTTCCAAAAACATCGGTAAAATTGCAAAAGCTCCAAAGAAGTTCGTAGGGTTTCGTAGAAATATTTGAATGAAAGATCCGTAAATAGCTGGGCAGTTTCATGTATGGTGGGAACTTGAGAGAAGATTCTATGGATGCTCATGTGGGCTGCAGCTTTCTTCAATTTAACAGATGCATAGACATATTTCTGATCCATTGGTGATAAAATTATTGAAATTGGTCCAGGGGCAGCTGAGTTATTAACGTTCAAAATCTTGCAAAATTTTGTTACATGTTCCATTTTCTGTTTTCACAAAGTGTACCCCCATATAGAAATCACAGACGTAGTCCTACGTCAAAACTTCAGGAGATTCGTCAGAACTACAGATAAATTTTCAGGGAATTCAAAGAACCTCAGAGCAATTCAGTTCAAAAGTCTTAAGATTAGCTAAGATGTTTTGATATTTTCAGGGATGTTCTGAACATTTCAAGATGTTCCGAAATTCCACAAAACTTGCGGGAGCCCCATGATTTTTAGGAAAAATCCGGGAAGATCAAAGACATCAAGGCAGTTTCATTAACTTTTGGGAAACTGTAGGAACTTTTAATAAATACTGATATAAATACTGTATAATACGCTAGAGAATTTTAAGTCTACATAAAAGTTGCGTGAAATTCAAAGCAGTTCCGAGAACTTTAGGAAAATTAAGAAATCTTTTTTTTTCCTTTGGTTTGTTTTTTTCGTCGATCTTGTTTTCCGTGCTGAGCACCAATGCTACCGACGTGCCAGGAAGGCAGCTCCCACACCTGGACCCTACCTATCGACCCATCAACTCATGAACCGGGGACCAACGGCTTTACTTCCCATCCGAAGGAAGGCGTGATCAGAGATGTTATGCCTCAGAACATCCCGGCGGCGCCGACTGGGATTGAACCCAGGCCTGCTGGGGTGAGAGGTAATCACGCTTACCACTACACCACCGGCGCCGTTAATTAAGGGATCTTAAAAGCGGCTTTTTGAACATCTAGAAAATTGAGAAAACTATAGATCCGGTCTGAGAACTTATGGACAGTTTCGAGATTTTCAGGACAACTATGAGATCTTTAGGAATTACTCTTTTTATTCCTTTGTACTCTTTTTGTCCACCAACCATCTTGTTTCGGAATCTTCATATGATTTGTTGTGTAACGTGAGCATTTTGGAAGATTGAAGCCAGCCCTAATAAACGTGTACCATATACTGACGATATCTTAGATGGTGCGACCATACCACATAAAATTGGGATGATATCCCGAATTGGTGATTAGGCGCATCTTATGGTTATTGTTTATGCGGGAGTGTCTATTATTTTCATTTACCGTCGCCCACAAGGAGTAGCCCTTAAACCAAGTGTAGATGAATTGCGTTTGTTTTGAAAATCTTCGCTGTCACGTACGAGCGAAATGAACAATTCTAGATAGAGCTGGAATTAGGGCGAAACAGCTTTTGTAAACAATGACTTCTATCGATGATTTCTAGGAACTCAAGGTACGCCCACGCAGACCAACATATCCATCGAATAGGGGAAGTCTTTCCCCACCTGATGAGGATGTTGGTTTGCGTGGGTGAGCCTTGAATTTCTAGGAATCATCGATAGAAGTCATTGTTTACAAAAGCTGTTGGACCCTAATTCCAGCTCTATCTAGAATTGAGTTTATCATACATCAACGAATACGTGTTTGTTGATATTCGCCAATGCTTGATTATCCAAAATTGTCAAAATCAGAAGCGATCCTCAAAAGCAAAATAATCAAATTCATTTTGGGCAAAATGAATATTTTGAATATTGTCAACCCCAGAGCCTTAATCCTTGATATTATCATCAATTCAGCAAGAGGCAATAATAAAACCAACACGACACGTTCTTCAGCGCTATATTTGTGTAAAATGAAAATGTGTAATCATTTTGCATTTGATCCTTAAAATCACCCGCACCAAGATGAAGACGAATGTTAATATTATCAACAACACAGGCCACGAATGAAGAAAAACAAATGTTACCTTGGATATTCAGAGGTTGCCTCGATCAAGATAATCTTGATATCAGTGCTAACATTTGAAAACGGCACAAAAGCCATTTGTAAACAAATGGTTTGTGGGCCCTTTACTCACTACTTAAAGTACACCCACGCGACACAACAGCAACATCGAGTAGGGAAAATTTTCCCCTTACTGACGATGCTGTTGGTTTGCGTGGGCGTTCTTCGGGTAGCGAGTAAAGGGCCCACAAACCATTTGTTTACAAATGGCTTTTGCGCTGCGCCGTTTTCAAATGTTAGCACTGATATGCCATTCAAATTCATGCAGGTAGTTGGTCTATCTTTTAAGGTTGTCTTCATTTTCAGCTAAGTTGAGTGCAGAGCTGCCAGGTGGTTTTATAAAAAATCTGTATCCACTCTATTAAAAAATCTGTATTTTCTGTATTGACGATTTTTTTCTTAATTAATCATGTTTTGTTGTTTTACAAATACAGTGCATACAAAATAACCATAAAAAGTGCTTAACCACCTATTCGGGCTATCGTACTAACCATACGGGATATAATTGCGCCATTTGTGATATCGTCCGTACTTATTTATAAGAGTGATATGAAGCCGTTTGAAAATGTACGGAGATTTTAGTTTCTATTCATTATCTTCCTGATAAGCAGTTTTAAATGCAAAAAAGTGCACGAGTTCGTTACTATTTGATATTTTTAATATAGATTAATACAATTAATTACATCATTTGTGTGGTAGTTACACCGAAAAGTCGAGAGATGTCGCCCCGCCAGTGCTGGTAAAATCATTTTTGCAGCATGAAGAATATCAGAACATCCGCAATTTCTTACGAAATACATTTTCAATGCAAGTAAAATGTTTACGAGTACTTGTATTTGTACCATTTTAATGTGCTCGGGCACTTTTCTTGTATTTAACATACATGCTTATATTGGAAATATTCAATTAATACTGTAAATCCCCATACAATCTCAAATCGTTTACTACCAGCTCCATATGCATCCGAAAGCGGTTGGTCCTCTGTCCTATTAATTTTGGAGAGAAGGGGGTACGCTGATAAAATCGAGCAAGTTATTTTGTTTTTATAAATTTTGAATTTTTTTTCTCAAGCATTTTATAAAAATCTGTATAAATCTGTATTGTAATTTAAAAATCTGTGATAAATCTGTATTCTGTATCGGGTCTGTATTAAGATTAAAAAATCTGTATAATACAGATAAATCTGTATAAATGGCAGCGCTGGTTGAGTGTAGAAGAAAAGATTTTTATCAGTACTGATTGTAGCCACTTCCTATGGGGTAGGCCCATTTGCCGTTTCTTAATTATATACTACGAGCATGGTGGGATGGATCAATGGTAAGGGGTTTGGCTTATCAAGGCGATGTGGTCTGGCCATCTCTATATTGGTGAATGTATTTTACGTCTCAGATATCGATAGCCAACAAAACAAATTGATTGCATTTTATGAATGACAATGGAAATTTACAACACACATATCTGCTTGTTTTGTATGATTACGAAACCGACTTTTGATCCACATTTAAGAAAATACTGATATTATCGTCTAAGTGTGCAGAGTCATGCTTTCGAATGTACCTTGTTTGATCAGGAATTAATTGTCAACTGCTCCATCATATCTAAAAATGCTCCAGCAAAACGGCAAAACGGTAATTACGTTACTCATTTAAAAAGGCATCCATCATTGTGGGACACACCCCTCTCTATTCGCATTCCAGCTACCGAAAGGCCCATTTAGGGAAAATTCATGCGGTTCACCTGATGAGAAAAGTATCGCCGTTGGCCCCGCAGCTGTGTGTTCATTGAGAGTGAGACCTCGTGGAAGTACTCTCACTCTCGATGAGTACTGTTCAACAACAAGTTGGTACATATCGTAATCGTAAGTGAGAAACGGAGGCGTGAAACTTGTTTGGTCACTTGACGCTGGTGCTGCTACTACACCTACCTCCGCTCGGGCCGGTCGGTCGGTCGGTCGGTGTGACAAAGTCGTTTGTCACATCGGATCGCCATCAGCTTAGGTGGAAAACTCGCGGAATGAAATTTATGAACTAAGTTGGATGCTGCGTGGCTACTTGGGCCCAATGGTAAAGAGGGGCGAAAAGTTTAATATAGAGCAGCAGATCCGGGGGTCCTAAGACCATTTGGCCGTAGTCGCTGGTACCGGATAGCCGCACTGAGTTGGCATTCCACACCGTCGTCGCGAACGTGATCATCAACTGCCGTTCACCATCAGAAGAAAGGATCAATTTCTCTAAGGCCTCGAAAAAGTCTAGACTGGATCACGTCACGATTGATTGGCGCGCGATCTGCGCTAATGAGGCACGATCTTTGAAAATTCCACCCATATAGACGAAGGCTTGGCGCGGGTGCGCGTGTGAAAAGTGTCCGGATTTTTGGACCCCTGCCGCATTCGGCTGGTTGTGGAAGTGAGTGAAGAAAAACAAAAACAGAAAATAAAAACAGCAGCAGCAGCAGAGTGAGAGTGTCGTGCATCACAGAGGTCTGGGACGCAGCATCTGAGACAGGCCATCTCATATCGATTCGAGATCGCGGACGGTACGGAGGCGAAAACATTTCCCTCTTCGGTGTGTGGACGGATGCGAGAGTGCGCGCGCGCGCGTGTGAATTCAAACTTTGTCGGACGGATAACGGATAACGACCTGGACCTGGGGTACCTGCTGGTGGAGAAGATCGAACGGGAAAGTTCATGGCTTCACTTTGGTTGGCGTGAAAGGGAAATGTGATTTTTTTTTGGTTTTGAAAAGGTCATAAAGTGAGATTTCAAATCAAGTTCTTGGGAGTGCCGGTTTGAACACGTAGATTAGAAGGTGGTGAGCAGGCAGTTTTTTTTTCCCGAAGAAAAAGATTGTGTCTTAGAGGAGGATAATAATGTGTTGAGCGGAAAACCCTACAGAGAAGACGTGAAGTGCGGATAGTTTGATGAACATCTCCAAAAGGGTAAGATGGTGTTGTTGTTGAGTGAGAGTGATTAGCCGAAAAATGCTATTGTGCAGAGATAATCAATGCTTCAAACGCGAAGCGACGACTGAAAGGTGGACTGGTGACCGATCGAAGGGAATGTTTTGGACGTTCGTTTCTACTCAGTATGTTGACGTTTAGAAATCTACAACCAATGGAAGCGTCGATAAAGAAGGGTTTTAAAAGTGTTTGGATGAGGAAATTTTTGATTGTTTAATCGTTTTGTTACACCTCTTAAATGTGTCTAAGTTGTGCGTTATGGAGTAAGATCTACCACATTGAACTTTGTGACCTACAACAGTATTGAGCATGCACTGATGGAGAAATATAGATTTGAGAATCAAGACATCTATCCCTAGTGGAAGCATACAACATATTCAATTGGCCCAGTATACGTCGTCTGGCCTACAAGTCTTTACTAGCAGTCGATACTCATAGGGATGGATCATAGAATTGCTTAAGTAAAATCCAGTTGAATTTTCGTAAAATCCAGTTGAATAAAGTTCGTAAAATAGATAGTTTAATGCTATTAATCTCCTTATAAATATGCAATATTTTCGCACTGTAGAGCCACACTCTGTGTTATCACTGAAAGTGCACTCCAGAGTGCTCTATTGTACTTTCAGTAAAAACACAAAGTGTGGCTCTGTGGTGCGGACATTTTTAATTTTAATAAGGAGATTAATAGCATTACATTACTAGATGAGCTTATTGAAAATTCAATTGGATTTAGCGTCCTACAAGAGCGATCCATCATACATATTGAAGATTTGAAAAATATGGGAAATGCGTGGTACATTTGGCTGACATTAGCTTTTTATATGAGAAGTAAGTAATCAGTAAGTAATGATCAAGACTGCAGTTTGAATGATCGACAAGCAATACAAACACAAATATACAGAGGCTGGAACATTTTGTTTATCTTTAAAGTGTCACAGTTCCGTGAATCAGTTGACTTTCATGTATGTGCCTGAAAGTATGCGACAAAGAAATGATTGAGTTTTAGTATATGATCAAAACTTGAAGTGGCTTCTGGACCCCGGAGATAGCCTAAATGTTTAAAGTTCGTGATAGATATGTTATTTTTATGCTGCTAATTTTTATTAAAAATAAATCTGAAATGATTATAGATCTCAAAACAAGGCTCTACTGCAAGTCTACTGATAATAAATTGGTCCATTAACATTGAATTTGTTCTGGAAATGACGTCAGTATATTTTTGTTCACCTAAGCCAACGGTTCTCAAGGTTTCGTTGACTGCGACCCACTTTAGAACATTCAGTAAGCTCACGACCCACGAATTTTGTAGACAGATATTGATTTAAAAAACACTAAAATGGTCAAAAAACGGGTGCCAAAAAAGCGATTAAAATGCATAATGACTTGTGAAAACACATATATATATATATGTACGAATGTACCACATTAGGCATATATACGTTAGGCGTACGAACTTTAGGCATACATACGTTAGGCATATATACACGATAGGCATTAAAGCTCATGCTGTTAAGAAAGTTTTCTGGTACGTTCTGCAACTTCATATCTGGAAATTCAGATTGCAATATGATTATCAGAGCCTTCTAGAACTTATAGCTTATGATAGGGGAAATGGATCTAATGTCGGCCTAAATGCCCCTAATTTGGGCCCATACATCAATTCAGCAATCGTTTAAATTTTCAATAGCGACCAAAAATATCCATTAGTACCATCCCAATGACGCGTTCATCTAGATAAAATTGATCAATAGCAGATTTTTAGCGATTTCGGAAAAATTTCGGAATAGTCCAGGATTCATGGAATCTCAGACGTAAACAAAATTTCGACATCTGGATTGAGTAAAAAAAAATGACTCAGGGCACTAGCTATAAAAAATTGGAATTATAAAATCAATAGATGTTATTTTAATAATTTGTACTTGTAAATTGAAGTTGTAAAGTATGTGTTTGGCACAATAAACCTGTCAATATTGCTTTCAGAGTGTCCCAATAAGTGATTTTAAGATTGGTGTCGCAAGTCGTAAAATCATTTATTGTAACTATCTGAAAGCGAATTTGACTGGTTTTATGTGTCAAACACTTGCCTTTCAACCTTTTCTTGTATCTTGCAAGTACAAAATACCACTACAGCATTTAATGATTCAAAAAATCCGAAAATCATGTTTTTATAGCAAGTGAGAGGAAGCAAATGATGGCTTACATATTCTAGAACTGGAAATTTATAGCAAGATTTCATGCTTCGACCAATCTTTCTGAACCCAATTTAAAAAAAAAATACATCTTGAGTATGAATCATAGAAAACTAGATAAACATTATTTATCTTAAAAATAATGTGAAATCTCAGAATAAGAAAATTAGTCATACACTTGATACGGAAAAATTGTATTAAAGAACCGCATCTTTTCAAGAATTTAGGTCACACAACTCACAAACATATTCGACAAACCGGGTTCCCAATGTTTATTATCCCTGTTTTCAAGGCATTTGAGATTTCGAAAGATTTAAGAATTCTGTTAGTATGGAAATATTCAAGATGGATATTAAAAAAAATGAAAATAAATTGCTAGACCTAATGATTCTAGTACATATATTGAAGGACTATTGGCATCGTGAAATAATGTTTTATGTTTACCTGTAACCCGTATAATCTAACCACATTCGGCCTTATGATGTTAAGCATAATGTCATTCGGTTTAATAGCTCAAGACTTAACACCAGGGCCCAACAAAGTCACTTTCAACTGAAAATCATCAAGCGACGACGAAGCTGTTAACCATCACTTTCAATTGAAAGTCATTCTGGCTTCTCTTTGAGCAGATCCCCTTCAACATCAACAGAACCTCTTTGGATCAGTTTTCATGCTGTTTGTTTTGGCTTGACTCGTGTTCATTTTGTCTTTCATTGTCAAATGAACTTGCTTTCTCATTGATGCGAAGCTGTTCGATAAAAATTCGCGCAGTTTTTCTGACTTTTGTTGATTGTTCACTCGGTTCATTTAAGCGTATGTGCAAATATCTGTGCACGTGGATGTCAAATTTATCATTGTCGGGTGGTTTGTAAAATTTGAGAATTTTCAGAACAGAATGACACGTAGATTGCAAAAATCGTTGTCAGACGCCATCATGAAATCCAATATGGTGACTTTTGGTTTCAGAAAAAGTGGAAAATACTGTCAAATACCCATCAATGTGGGTATTTTTTAAATCCTAGTAACTTTTAGAGGTCTGAAACTGATGGCTGACTGCCATTTTAAAATCTAAGATGGTGGCTTTGGATCAGAAAAAGTATGAAATAATGTCAAATACCGATCAATGTGGGTATTGTGGGGATCGAGGTGACATCTAGATGCCAGAAATCGATGACCGATGCCAGCTTGAAATTAAAGATGGTGGCTTCCGATTTCAGAAGAAATGTCAAATAGCGTACAAATGGCGTTGGATATCTATTTTTTAAATGTACGTGTCGTCCCCGTTCCGAAAATACCCATATTGTAGGGTATTGACACATTTTCGGAAACCAGTTGGGCACCATATTGGATCCCAAAATGGTATCTGATATTGATTTTCGACATCTACGCGTTGTCCCCGTTCGGAAAATACCCATATCTTACGGTATTTGACACTTCAGAAAAGCAATGGTCACTATCTTGGATTCCAAAATGGCGTCGAGTATCGATTTTTCCCATACCTTAGGTTAATTTAACTCATACCTTAGGGTATTTAACACTTAATTTGAAACCCGATGGCCACCATTTTGGACTCCAGAATGGCCTCGTTAATTTAATTTAAAATAATATTTTATTACTGCATATAATCCGGATGCCATCCCTTAAGGCACCCGATATTGTGCAGATACAATCCGGATACTTTAAAAACTAAGGAAGCAATTTTCTAGTCACTCATAGCGTCAATTGAAACAAGTCTTAGCTTCAAATGAAGTGAACTAATGCGCTTAACGAACGAAACAAGCGGTAGTCAAGTCATGTTTAATAGGAGGAATGTTCATCGTGACTCGATAACAAGAAACACAATGACTTACATGAAAATGATATTGCTCGAAATGAAGCGATTCTGCGGAGAGTTCATTGTATTTTCTTTGTTTCGAAAATGCAGAACCCTGCTCAACACAAAAGCAGACTAGGCGGCTAAATCACATCTCAAAATCAGAGATCATTCGTATAGAAAACCATTAGTCTATAGAAGATTATTTTCAAAAAACAGCTCATCAGAAAAATAATGGTATATTTTGAGATTCGGCCAAATTGTCCATCATAAAAAAAATCCATATCAAAACCCAGCTCTGATCTGAAAATAACATAAATAATAAATAATAAAATAACATTACAAGGCATTTCAAGCTTATTGCTCAACTTAGTTTTCTTTGAAGCACTTCCACATTTTAATTGAGAGCTTTCTATGCCTGTTCATATGCCCAAGGAAGTCGAGAAATTTTCCAACCCGCAAAGTTAATAGACCAGACGGAAATCGAACAAAGCCGCCTTCAGCATGAACTCGCTTCGTAGCTGCGCCTTTACCGATTGAGCTTGGGGAGTATCTCCTTGAGAAAAAAAAAACAATGTATCATTTTCAGTTATTTATTTTCTTGGCAGTATACATTCTAAGTATTTAGTGAAAATAATTAAACACCACACACAAATGTTTTATTATTCAGTGTTTATTGGACATCTTTGCTTCCTTAATCAGTGATGATGTTAACGCTTTATTATTATTATATGAAGTAACTTTTAAATTAGACACTATTATACATTTATTGAACGATTATTCAACTGCAGCCCAAAAATATAAAGAACGGTTGGAGACAGACAGAGTTGTCTTTCCTTTAGTGATTGTTTTAATTATTTCTGACGAAGCACGCACCACACAGATGCTAGAAAATTTATTACATACACTGAAAATGTTTTCACTTAGTTTCTTTTAAGAAAGCACATAATATTTTTTCCAAAAACAAAGATAATAAT